GTTTTTCTGAGGGGTTCCTCTCTCCGCAGGGCGCTCTTCATCCGGCCCTTCATGCTGCTGCTGGACGAGCCCACCAACCACCTCGACCTGGACGCCTGCGTGTGGCTGGAGGAGGAGCTGAAAACGTGAGACGGGCATCCCGGCGCTTGGAGGGGGGGCTGCCTTCCCAGGGGCGGGGGTGTTCTTCGGCTGGGGGCGGAGTAACCTCTGGGCTTCCTCTTTCAGGTTCAAGCGCATCCTCGTGTTGATCTCCCATTCCCAGGACTTCCTGAACGGCGTCTGCACCAACATCATCAACCTGCACAACCGCAAACTCAAGTACTACACGGTAAGCCGGGGGGGCGGACTCGGCCCGGTCCCGGGAAAGCAGCGCCCTTCCCAGAGGTCCGGGGGGGGTTCCTGTTTTCGGTGGTGGCAGAACCCATTGGTTGCGGGGTGGTGGGGGAATCTGCGAACGCCTCTCCCTCCCCGCAGGGCAACTACGACCAGTACGTGAAGACGCGCCTGGAGCTGGAGGAGAACCAGATGAAGCGCTTCCACTGGGAGCAGGACCAGATCGCCCACATGAAGGTACGACCGGCCTGCCTCTTCCCGAGCTGGCGGCCCTTTGAGTCGGGCTAAGCTCCGGCCGGGTCGCACCCCACCCCCCGGCGGCTTCTTTCCGCCCCCCCAAAGGAAACTCTTGCGCCCTTGCAGAACTACATCGCCCGCTTCGGTCACGGCAGCGCCAAGCTGGCCCGCCAGGCCCAGAGCAAAGAGAAGACCCTCCAGAAAATGATGGCCTCCGGACTGACCGAACGCGTCATCAACGATAAGGTGGGTGGCGAGCGGGATTGCCCCCCCTCACCCTCCCCCCCGGTGCACCCCGGACAGAGTTGTGAGTTGTCCGTGTGTCCCCAGACGCTCCCCTCCTTATTTTTTATAAGGTTTTTTTAATTCATTTTTCCATACATAACAATAATATTTTTTCAACCAACGTGCTGTCTGAGTTTACATGCTAATACATGTAAACTGGAGGGGACTGGAGGCTGAAGCATGTAAGGAACGGTTGCTGGAATTGGGTCTGTCTAGTTTAACGAAGAGAAGGACGAGGGGGGACAGGATAGCAGTCTTCCAGTATCTCAGGGGCTGCCCCAAAGAAGAGGGAGTCAAGCTATTCTCCAAAGCACCTAGGGGCAGGACAAGAAGCAACGGGTGGAAACTGATCAAGGAGAGAAGCAACCTGGAACTAAGGAGAAACTTCCTGACAGTTAGAACAATTAACCAGTGGAACTACCTGCCTCCAGAAGCTGTGAATGCTCCAACACTGGAAGTTTTTAAGAAGAGACTGGACAGCCATTTGTCTGAAATGGTATATAGGGTTACCTGCCTGAGCAGGACTAGATGAACTCCAAGGTCCCTTCCAACTTTATAATTATTATTGTTGTTGTTGTTATTATTATTATTAATAATAATAATAATAATAATAATAATAATTCCTAATCCTTTCTTCTTTCCTCCAGCCATTGATAAAATAAGTCCCAAGTTTGATAATATTCCGTTTCTTTTTCTTTCAGTGTCATAGTCAATCTGTCCATCTCTGCGCATTCTAGTATTATTTTAATTATTTCCTCATCTGATGGTATTCCTTCGTTTCTCCAGTGTTGCGCAAATATTCTTGCCACTGTTGTGACGCGCAAAATCAAATATAAGCTTTATTTTATTAGCCCTTTCTGGCATTATACCCAACAGAAAAAGTTCAGGTTTAAAATAAACTTCGTTCTCCTAACATCTGTTCTAACCAACTATCTTTTCCCAATAACTCTTTACTTCGTCACGTGTCCACCAAGCATGATAATACGTGCCCGGCTTCTGTTGGCATTTCCAACATCTCTCTGACACCTTTTTAAACATTTTCGCCGATCTTGCTGGTGGCAGGTGCCATCGATCAAACATTTCGTATCAGTTTTCTTGATAGGAGGTTGACATGGTCACTTTTATAGTTACTTTTGCCATTTTTCTAATTCCGTATGATAACCCAAAAAAAATTTTTTTCGCCCAGACGCTCTCCTTCTACTTCCCCTCGTGTGGGAAGATCCCTCCCCCGGTCATCATGGTGCAAAACGTGAGCTTCCGCTACAGCAAAGACGGGGTGAGTGGAGGGGAGAGGGAGGGGAGAGGGAGGGAGGGGGAGAGGGAGGGAGGGGGAGAGGGAGGGAGGGGGAGAGGTAGGGAGGACGGGATGTCGAGCCTCCCTTGCGCTTCCCCTGCAGCACTGGATCTACAACAACCTGGAGTTCGGCATCGACCTGGACACGCGGGTGGCTCTCGTGGGGCCGAACGGAGCGGGTAAATCGACGCTACTCAAACTCCTGACCGGAGAGGTAAGCCCACCCCAACCACCCCTGCGGGGTTGGTACGGGCCGAGCTCCCTGGAGGGGGGGTGTGGGGGGTGTGGGGGGTGTCTTCCTTTCCGCAGCTGTCTCACCCGCCGCTTCCTTTTCAGCTGCTCCCCACCGACGGGATGATCCGGAAGCATTCCCACGTCAAGATTGGCCGCTACCACCAGGTGGAGTTTGGGGAGAGGGAAGGGCGCTCCCGGGAGGCGTTCCTGGACTTTGATGTCCGGGTCTCCCCTCCCTCCTCCCCCTCCCACGCAAAGGCCTTTTCAGAAGGGGGGGGAGGAGAAGTCTCCTCTTACTCTTAACGGACCCTCCCCTCTCCCCCCCCCTCCAGCACCTGCAAGACCAACTGGACCTGGACCTCTCCCCGCTGGAGTACATGCTGAAGTGCTACCCGGAGATCAAGGAGAAGGAGGAGATGCGAAAGATCATCGGCCGCTACGGGCTCACCGGGAAGCAGCAGGTGGGGGGCCCGGCTCTAGAGGGGAAGAGAGCTGGAAGGGACCTTGGAGGTCTTCTAGTCCAGCCCCACTCTGCCTAGGGAGGGATGGGGGGCTTTCCGGGGGGGGGCTCCTGCTGAGGCCCCTCCTGCTGCGGTTCGCTTGCTCCGCCCGGAGGCAAGGGGCCGAGCAGCCCGGGACCTCCACGCGTCTCCCGTCCAGGCTCCGTGAGCGGCAGGCCGGTTCCCTTCCCTCTCGGGGGGTGGAGGATCTGGGGCCGGAAGCAGCCGGCTCCTGTGGATCACCACCCATTTCACCTGCAGCTTGGATCCCGGGGCAGGGGGTCTCCCAGGGCGGGGCAGCCGTTCTCGCAGAGGGAGCTCAGCGGGAGAGGGAGGGGAGCGCCCGCCCCCCCCTGGCATTCTTCCGGGCCAGTTCTGGCGGTCTCCCGTAGGCAGCAGCGACCGGTCTCTCTCTCGCCAGCTGGGGACGATGGTGCTGAACCTCGGGCCCGTTTGGTGGCCTTTGCCCACCCCTCCCCGTGGGCCGGCTGGGAAGGTCGGGCGTGGGTGAGACGGGCTCTGCTCTGCTCGGCAGGTCAGCCCCATCCGGAACCTCTCGGACGGGCAGAAGTGCCGCGTGTGCTTTGCGTGGCTGGCGTGGCAGAACCCCCACATGCTGTTCCTGGACGAGCCCACCAACCACCTGGACATCGAGACCATCGACGCCCTGGCCGATGCCATCAACGACTTCGAAGGCGGCATGATGCTGGTCAGCCACGACTTCCGCCTCATCCAGCAGGTCCGTCCAATGGGGGGAGGCTGCCACGGGGGCCTACCTGGGCTAGGGGGGGGCAGGGCTTCTCCTTGACCTCTGACGCCCCTCCCCCTGCGGAGCTCCTGAGCCTTGCCCACATACCGTAATTGGCAGAGACGGTTCCCGGCATCCCACACAAAACACGCTTCTGGGGGGGGCGCGGTTGGGGGCCTCCTCGGATCATCCTGGAAACCGATCCAAGCAAACCGGCCGGCAAGCCGTGCACCGAGTTCCCGGAAAAGGTCTCGGTGTGATTGTGGCGCTTGGAATACAGGCAGTCCTCGTTTAGTGGCTGCTTCAGTGAGCGACACCTGAGTTGTGACGGTCCTGAAAAAGTAACTCCACAGCCATCTCTCGCATTTAGGATCTATAAAGCTGACAGTGTTTAGCGAGCCCTTTGCTTAACAACCGAACAGCCATGGTCCCTTTGTGGTCGCCAAAACGAGGACCGCCTGTTAACGGTTTCGGGGAGTTGCATGAAGTGAAAACTTGGGGAGCTCCTCGCAAGGCCCCGGTGCTCCGGAGGCCTCCAGCTTCCTGCCAAAGTCGAGCGTCAGAATGTAGGAAGAAACCCAAGGTCTGTTGGGGGCGGAGGTGGGGGGGGTGTAGTGCAGTTTAGACATAAAATGTGCCGCTGTACGATTCACACAACGAAGTTGGCAAACCACGATTCAGCAAGCTGTACAAACCCATCCTGCGGGTTCCTCCTCCCCCTCTCCCTCACGTAGGCCCTCCCTCTTCTCTCCCCCCAGGTGGCCCAGGAGATCTGGGTCTGTGAGAAGAGGACGATCAGCAAGTGGCCCGGCGACATCCTTTCCTACAAGGAGCACCTGAAGTCCAAGGTGGTGGACGAAGAGCATCAGCTGACCAAGAAGATGCACAATGTTTGAGCTGCAGCGGCAGCAGCCGGGGGAGAAGGCGGAAGGCCCAGCCCTGCTCCTTCCCCCTCGGACACGGGTGCCGGCCTCCCCGAGGGAAGAGAGATGGGCAGGGTCCCCCACCCCGGCTGCGCCCGGCCTCCCCTTCGGCTTCTTCCCACCTCTGCCACCCAAAAGCCCTGCAGCCACCCAGCCCCGGCAGAGCAGCGAGAGTCGGCCTGGCTTCCTGCTTCAGATCCACCACTCCAAACTTCGATTTCTTTTCAATAATTATTTATTAGTGTAATTGCATTCCTGCCTGAGAAGTATCGGTCAATAAAGAGAGGGGAGCTTCACACCTCCGCCTGCTTCTTTGGGGAAGGGCAGGGCGGTGGGGGGCTTTGGCGGCCCACAGAGGGGGAGGGTCCGTTTCCTCGGCACCAGGACCTGCAGCCTCCCCGGCTGTGGCACATTGTTCCCCTTCTCCTCCAGGGGAGGGACGTAGGTGCAGACGGGCTGCCAGGAGGGGGGGAAACAGGCTGCCCCAGGGGAGCCGAAGCCCACCGGTCACAAAAGGGACAAGGCCTGGGTCCATTGCCTGCGGCCCTTTCGCCCTCCTCAGGATCGCCTCTGAGGTCCAGCCGCGTCGGAGGCCAGATCCCCTCCAGTCAGCGCCACCCACTCAGTGGGAAGGGGACCGGTTTCCTCTCGGCTGCGACGTCTCCCTCAATTTCCTCTGGAATTGAAGTTCGTCCTTCCTCTTTCTGACTCCCCTCGTGGTGGACGAGCGGCGCTTGGGTCTCCTCCCCACCGTTCGGATCCTGGGGGGGCTCTCCGTCTCTCGCGTTTGGGTCTAGGGCGGTGGAGGGCTCGGGGTGCGTGCGCGTGTGTGTCTCCCGCAGTCATGGGCCTGCAAGGTCAACCCAGTTAAATCAGTGCTGTGCAGCCCACAGTACCAAGGGAGCCACACAACAGGCCCCTGAGCTGGTCCGACGGTTTAGGCAGCTTCTGGTTTTGAGGAAATCTGGCAGGAACAGCCTTTAATCCTCCGGGCCCTGGGCTGCTCCCACGATACGATTATCTATCTATCTATCTATCTATCTATCTATCTATCTATCTATCATCTATCTCTGTGTGTCTATCTATCTGGTCTCTCGTTACCTGTCTTCTGTCTGTCATCTACCTATCTTTATATCAATCATTTCTGTATATCTAAATCTGTCCATATAGATATAGATATAAATATAGATACATGTGTATCATCTCTATATCTCTATCTTTCCTCTCTCTTTTTCTTTCTGTCTCTTTCCTCTTCCTCCCTCTCCCTCTCATTTGTTGGCTGTCCCTCCTAGGGACCAGGCTCAGTCTCCACTCTGCACGTGAGCCGAATCCAGAAGCGGAGACCGCCCGGCCTCCCCGCTCCCTTTTGCCAGCCAGCCTGCAGACCCTCCCTCAATTTCTGTCCGCGCCACGGGTGGTTCTCAGCGGGCCGCCGGGATTGGCCAACTCAGCCTCTCCGTGCCAGGGCCTCTTCCGCAGACGGTCAGCACTCTGGGAGGGTGACCTCACTTCCCCTCTGGGGGGGGGAGGAGGAGGCTGGGCAAGGCGTCACCCGATGATGATGATGATGATGACCGTGACTCAGCCTTTATTTCCGCTTTCCCTGTTAGGGCTCTGCTAAGGCAGCTGTGAGGCCTCCAGGGAAGGGGGGGGGAGCTGCTGCTCCTCCCTCTGGGGATCCTTTCTGGACTCTCTCTCTCACACACACACACACACACACCACCCTTCTCTCCCTCTTTCTCCTTCCTCTCTCTTCTCCCCTCTCCCTCTTTTTCTTTCTCTCTCTCCCTTTCTCTCTCTTCCTCTCTTCTCTTTCTCACTCTCCCCCTCCCTTCTCTCCCTCTCTTTCCTCTCCCCTCCCCTCGCTCTTCTCTCCCTTCTCCCCTCCCTCCCTTCTCTCCCCCATTGTCTTTCTCTTTCCTTTCCCCTCTCCCTCTCCTCTTCCTCCCTCCCTTCTCTCCCTCTTTCCTCTCACCTCTCTTTTTCTCGCTCTTCGCTCTCCTCCTCCCTCCCTTCTTTCTCTTTCCTCTCCCCTCTCCCTCTTCTTTCTCCCCTCTCCCTCTCTTTCTTGCTCTTCACTCTCCCCTCTCCCCCTTCCTTCTCTCCCTTTCTTTCTTTCCTTCCCCTCTCCCTCTCTTCTTTCTCGCTCTTCTCTCTCCCTTCTCTCTCCCCCTCCCTTCCTCTTTCCTTTCCCTTCTCCCTCTCTTCTCTCATTCACACTCTCCCTCCCTTCTCTCCCTCTTTCCTCTCACCTCCCTCTTTTTCTCGCTCTTCGCTCTCCTCCTCCCTCCCTTCTTTCTTTCCTCTCCCCTCTCCCTCTTTCTTGCTCTTCACTCTCCCCTCTCCCCCTTCCTTCTCTCCCTTTCTTTCTTTCCTTCCCCTCTCCCTCTTCTTGCTCTTCTCTCTCCCTTCTCTCTCTCCCCCTCCCTTCCTCTTTCCTTTCCCCTCTCCCTCTCTTCTATCATTCACACTCTCCCTCCCTTCTCTCCCTCTTTCCTCTCACCTCCCTCTTTTTCTC